TAGATAACTAGATAACGAGTGCTTATGTTTATAAAGTCCTTTACAAAACAGCTTCCTGACAGATTACCAAGGAAACTGAGGCTCAGAGAAATTACTTGCTCAAGGTCACACAGCTGTCAGTAAGAACTCAAACCCAGCTCATCTTACTACAGATTTAGTAATCTTTCTTCTTTCCTTTTTTTTCTCTTCCTTCCTTTTTTCTTACCTTCTTCCTTTTCTCCCTCCCTCCTTTTCTTTCTCCTTTCTTTCCTTTTCTTCCTTTCTTTCCTTCCCCCAGTATTTCCCCTCCCCTCCCCTCCCCGGACACCATGATACCTCCCATTTGTAATGACCTGAGTCTGGGACCAGGACACTGGAGACTATGCCCTGTCTACCCCTCCTAGAGAGGAGGAGAAGGAAGAATGTTTCTACCCTATTTATCCCCAGATAGAAAGTCTTGATATCCTTCCATCTCCGTTTCTGTGTCCCTCTTTCCAGCAACTCCATATATTAAGCTCCTCATTTGGCCAGCTCACCCCCAAAATGCTTCCAAGTGTCACCATCACATAGTGGATGGGAAGACAGTGCTTTCTTTGTAAACTTTGCAGCGCCATAGAAATGTGAGTTATTATACTTCCAGCCTTCAATGGGTCCTTGATCTTAGTGATCCAGGCATTCCCTCCACTTGTGCAGATTGCAACCCCTCCAAGCTTTCTCATCATTTGCAGTTCTTGTCTTTGTCCCTCAGAGGAGGTCAGTCAGTCAAACGAACATGTATTAAGTGCCTACTATGTGCCAGGCACTGTGCTAAATACTGGGGACACAAGGAAAGGTACCATCTTCCTTCCAGGAGCTCATAGTGTAATAGGAGAGTCAATATGCAAATGAGTATCTCCAAACAATGTATAGACAGGATAAAAAAATACTCAACAGAGGGAAGGCATTAGAATCAAAAGGGATTAGGAATTGCTTCCCTGCTTCCTGGTAGAAGGTGGATTTTAGTTGGGACTTGAAGGAAGACAGAAGGTAGAGAAGAAGAGGGAGAGAGTATTCCAGACATGGAGGACAGGCAGTGATGCCCTGAGTTGGGAGAGGGAGCATCTTGCTCAAAGAATAGCCAGGAGGCCAGTGTCACTAGATTCGAGGGTAGGTGGGGCATGGCAGACAGTGAGAATGGGATATAAGGTGAAGACTGGAAAGGTGGAGGGGACAGATTATGAAGAGCTTTCACCACCAAACAATATTTTTCATATATATATATATATAAATGTAAAAGTCCTTTACATATATATGTATGTAAAGGACTTATATATATATGTGTGTGTGTGTGTGTATATATGTGTATATATACACATATATATGTGTGTGTATATATGTGTGTGTGTACATATGTGTGTGTGTGTGTGTATATATAAGTGTATATATATAATATATATATATATATATATATAATATATATAGCTGATAGGGAGCCACTGGAGTTTACTGGGTAGGGCAGTGACATCGTCAGACCTACACTTTTAAGATCTCTCTGGCAGCTGAATGGAGGATGAATTGGAGTGGGGAGAGACTTGAGGTAGGCAGAGCCACCACTGTAGTAATCCAGGTGTGAGGTGGTGGCAGTATCAGAGGAGAGAAGGGGCCAATATGAGAGATGTTGCAGAAGTGAAATCAACAGGCTGTGGCAACAGATTGGATATAGGGTGGGGAAGAGGCGAGAGAGGATAAGGAATCCAGGATGACCCCAAGGTTTTGGGCCTGGGGGATTGGCAGGAAGCTGGTGCACCCAAAGTAATAAGGAAGTTTGGAAGGCAGGAAGGTATGGAAGGAAAGATAATGAATTCAGATTTGGAAACATTGCGTTTAAGATGTCTATGAAAGATCCAGTTGGAGATGCCTAATAGGTGGCTGGAGATGCAAGACTGGAAGTTAGCCAAGAGGTTAAGGATGGTTAAGTAGATTTTAGAATCATTAACATAAAGATGATAATTGAGTTTGTGAGAGCTGATGAAATTACTAAATGAAATTGTACAGGAGAAGGCAGCCCAGGACAGAGCCCTGTAGGATGCCCCATTAGTGTTCATGACGTGGATGAAGATCCAGCTATGGAGACTGAGAAGTAGTCAGATAGGTAAGAGAAGAACCTGGAGAAGGCAGAGTCCTTAAAACCTAGAAAGAAGAGAGTATCTATAAGAGGGGTGATTGATAGTATCAGAGGTTGAAGAGAGGTCAAAAAAGACAAGGATTGAAAAAAGGCCATGGGATTTGGCAATTAAGAGATCATTGGTAACTTTGGAGAGGGCAGTTTTGGTTGAATGATGAGGTTGGAAACCAGTTTGTTGGGGGGTTCAGAAGTGAGTGAGAGGGTCCACTCAACCAGTTAGAGGGGTCCTTTGAAATCTTTAAAAATTCTGTGGATATCAGTGGACACATAAACTGTGCATCTGTTATCTCTTGCAATCACTACCAGACCAGCTCACATCTTCATCCACTCATACATATTTTTGATAATGAAGATATCTTTACCCTCCAAGATTACCTCTTTCACCTAATTAAAGCTCCATTTCCTCAATATCCCAGTAATAGCAGTAACTCCCATGGCCCTTTAAAGCATTTTCCCTACCACCCAGGATTAAGTGGTGTCCCCCTTTACACACCTAAAGAGGAGGTTTGTTAGTCCTGACAAACCTGAAATTAGTTAATGCTAGGCGAGGTCACAAAATGTAATGAAGATATAAACCACTAGAGGAAAGGTATTTGGGTGTCAGAACACCACCACACTGGCAAGACTGTCCAGGCCAGGAGTCTGCCCTTGGGGTCAGCACCCTGAAGCTGTTCCTGCTTTTCCCAGCAAGCTGGAACCCACAGTTCTCTAAAAGCTAGGAGTTTGTTTTATTTTAAAAAAATTGCCCCCCAACAAGCTCTCCCACTGTAGAAGCAGCCAGGGGCTAAGCAGATGCATGTGTGAATCGTGTTTATAGGTTGGAGACTGCCTATATGTTCATAAAATGCCATTGCTGAAAGTTGAGATTAAAGATGTAGATGTTTATGTTAGGGGCAGCTAGGTGGCGCAGTGGATACAGCACCAGCCCTAAAGTCAGGAGGAAGAGTTCAAATCTGGTCTCAGACCAAACACTTGACACTTAATAGCTGTGTGACCCTGAGCAAGTCACTTAACCCCAATTGCCTCACACACACACAAAAAAAGGATGTTTATGTTAGGTATTCATCTAGCCTGAACCCTCATTTTGTACAAAGAAAACTGAGGCTCAGAGAGACTAATCATGGACACCCACAGGGGAAAGAAGTTTTAAGGAAATTGGGAGAAGGGAAAGGACCTGTAATGCTCTTCTCTTCTCCCACAGGCCACAGTCACCAGCTGTTCCACATCTGTGCAGTGCTCGGCACTCATTTCCAACTGGAGGCAGTGCTAGCTGATATGGGGGCACGGCGGGACTGGCTGGCAGCCCATTGCCCTCCCTCATCCCTGGCAGCCACAGTGGCCACCATGGGCCTTGCTGTGGCTGGGAACCTGCTCATTATTGCCATCTTCACAGCAGCTCTGCTTCGTGCCCCCCAAGCTTGCCTCCTCCTGCAAGAGACCCAGCCCGAGTCCATAGGCAGGGCCAAGGGGCAATAAGAAGAGAAGCCCCAGAAGGCTACTTCTCCCCAGAGACCACACCATCTAACTCCCCAGGTTCTGGCTCGATCTGCTCCAACCCTTCTCCCCTATAGTTTCTTCATCTCTAGGGGGGAAATAGACCAGGGACCTAGGTATCCAGATCCCCAGGCCCTGGCTCAGTGCTGGGAGGCTGAGGGCAGAAAGTCCTGAGACTATAAGAAAGAAAGGCTAGGAGAGAAGAAAGGTAGAAGAGGAAATGGGGACTGAGAGAGGGCAGAGTGACTGGGATGAAAGGGCAGGGGAGGAGAGGGAGTAGGAGACCTGCTGTTTTGGGTGGAGGTAGGTGCTAAGGGTGAGAGATGGGACAGGCTAGTGGAGGAAGACCTAGGGATCTCCCAGGTCCCCAAAGTGTGTCCAGGCTCAGGGGGATGGGAAGGATCCTTGAAGGGTTCAAACTGAATTTGCTTTTGAGCTGAACAGAATAGATGCTGGGGTCTAAAGACCACAGATTGGGCCAGAGTAAGCTGTTAGGGATATTAGGTTATTATCTAGACCTAGATTAGAACAATACAGGGTAAGTGTTATGGACCAACAGAGCAATATTAGGTGTCAAATATTAAGGTGTCTTACTGGGACCCTATTCAGGATCATGCAGAGAATCTGGGTCAGTCTTTGGGGAAATAACTCTCTTTAGGGATCTTTGGAGCGTGGTGCTCAATGATCTCCTTTGCCTGAGGAAACTAATGCCATTAATTTAGACTTCACCAAAGGGGCTATGCTTTAACCCCAACCTTTGGGACCAAAATCAAGAGGGGAGGACAGAAAACACCTGCCTCACCTGGCCCTCTGGCATGCTGAAGTGACCAAAATCCCGGCATCTCCAAGCCAAGATGAGAGGTGAAAGGGATAAAGGAACTGATTGATTCCTGGGAGAAACTGGATTGAAACAGTTATAGCCCTCTTAGTGTGTGTATCTGCTTTACTAGCACCTCCTTGCCAATAAAGAATTTTCTCTCCCTTGGATGCAGCCGGTGGAGCTGAGAAGCCCCTTTCATAGCTCCATGGACTGGGCACACCTTTCTAAGTCTGAGGATATGAGCAGAGATGTGTGGTCTGCTCAGCTATGGGAAGCATCCTGAGGAGGGAGGCGGTGTGGAACAAAAAGGGACCAAGCTCAAAGGGGCAGACTGGAGTCAGACCTTAGGAATCCTTTTCTTGGAGGCAGGGTGTGGGAGACTTGGACTGAGCTAGAAGGCTCCTTCCTCTCTTGGGAGTAGAGAATGGGGCAAGTCCAGGTTTGCCCATAGTCAGAGGCATAGCTCAGAAAGTTCTGCATTTTTCCCAGCCCAAACACACACACACACACACAATGGAGACAGAAGAATGATAGACCAGCTGATTCCTCCTCCCCTCGTGTTTATTTCTGAAAAAGCCAGAAGGTAGGAACTTTGGAGTGGGCCATGTACTGGGTATGCTAATGGAGGAACAGCTGTGTAGCTTGAGGCTGAAGAAGTGGGCCAGGCGTTTCCGAATGAAGGGTGGAGCCAGGACCTCCAGGCAGCATGGGGGGCACATCGGAGGGAGGGAATAGGTGTCACGGGCTCTAGGCTGTCCCGTAGAATCGCCGATATGCCTCACTGAAGCCAATGTGGTCAGCTAGCTCATCACAGTCAGGGTTAAGCTCACACACCTCCCGTTTCTGCTCCAGGGGGTCAAGGTAGGGAGCAGGAAGCCTAGGGGAGAGGGCTGCATTAGTCTATTCCTCCCCCTGCCCTCTAACAGAGCAAGCCTTCCCCAACCTTGGGAGTTTTAGGGAGGTCTGACCTCCGCCCCTTCCACTTCAGGGCTTGTGCAAGAGTCCAAAGATGGGCAAATGGAATGGGGAAGGGCCTTCTCTAGGGTCTCTCTCATTGCTCTGGGCACTTCATGGCACACGGGTTGCCCAGCACAAAGCCAGAGAGAATGAACTGCCTCGATACCCTCACGGGCTCTGAGAGGTCTCCCCTCACCGTCCCCAGTCCCTAGAAGCCTGAGTGAAGCAGCCCCTCTTCCCCAGGCTGTCAGACACTCACCCGTGCCAGTTGTACAGGTAGCGCTTAGGTCTTCTCACCAGCTCACTGCTCTCACGCCTGGAGGCAAAGGCTGGGGAGCAGGAGAGAGGTCAGTGGCTGGCCATCCCTACCGTACCAGCCCAGAGGGAGGGAACCAATGTCTGCAGCAGACTCCCTCCCCTCAACCCAGTTAAGTAGAAGGCTGGGAGTGGAGCAAAGGGAAGTCTCCACTTTCCCAGCTGAGCCTCAGAGCAGTCTGACTAATGGTAGGACAGGAGGACAGGAGACGGGACAGCAGCAGGAGTTGGGAGGCCTTGCTGGAGGCAGAGGTAAGGGGCACATGGGAGAGAGACAGAGGTGCTCAGGAACCTTGGCATTTCATCATGAAATGAGTGTGCAAATGAAACAACACATTATGAAAATCAGCCCCCTTTCCGAAGTCCCCAGTACTTACCTGTTCTTTTGCCAGAGTCTTGGGGACCCGCTTGAGCATCTAAAAGATAATAAGGAATCATCCTAAGCATTTTTCTTGTATAACCCCTTTCATTCTTTCACTTTGGTTGTTCCTTTTTCTACACAGAACAGAGAGAAAACTGGGATTACATTAGGAGGCATGAGGTGAGCTAAAATTTGGAATAACCATTTTCTCTTTGGAAATATTTTAATGTTTTTCTCTCCTTGGAAAACTTGAGGAAAAAGGTATGGACACCAGTCCATACTGGTTGACCAGCCTAGAGGTAAGGGACAGGAGAGGAAGGTGACCCAAGGTTCTATCTCAACTTTCCACTGGTCTCACCCTACTCTCCAATCCCTCCCTAGAAGGCAATGCTGGTGGAAAAAGAAAGTATCCAAGATAGGTTGTTGGTTGGGTTAAGCCTGCCCAAATTGAAGCACTGAGAGGAACTGAAGAATGGAGGACTGGGGGTGAGGCACAGGTGCTGGAGCTGAGAACCCATGCTCCTTCCACAAAGGACCATTACCTCCCTCGGACCCACACTCACCTTGCTTGCAGAGGCAGAGGGTGACCAGGGTCAGCAAGGAGAGAAGTAGGACTATCTTCATGATGCAGTTCTGTCCAGCAGGTCAAGTTCAGTTCAGTCCACACCAGTCCTGTCTCTTTACACCCTTTTCCAGGGCATCATTTATACCCTCTGAGCTTCCTGGCCCCTGAGGGGAGGGGCATACCCCTGGCTGACCACAGATGGGTGGGCCTGAGGTAAACCTTGCCAGCTCTATTTGAAGGCTATCCGGCTTGGGATTGACAGGCCCCAACCTCAAAGGATGTTGTGGTTTGGGAGACATCAACAAGTGTTCAAGGGATGGGAGGATGAAGACCTGGAGATTTCAATGGGTACAGCTGTGCTCTCAGCCACAGGTGCCCCTTTTTCCCACTACACCTATTCAGAGCTGTCCATGCTGTAGCCCCATAGTTTTATGCGCAAACTAGTGCTGAAATGAGGAAGGAGCTAGGGAACCAGGCAACTGAATCCCCAACCATTCCCTCTCATCTCCAGGGTCCCCACTTGGCTATATTCTCTCCACCATGTTCCCCTTCTCCCTCAAGTCCTCCTCCCTGTCCCTAAGTGTAGTGGCAGCTTAAATAGGCATAATGGGAAGCCAGGGGAGGAAGAAGGAAATTCAGGATGACGGGTTTTAAATAGGTCAATGAGCAGAGTCTGGCTCTGTTTCCTCTCCTAGCCTATGATTTCCATGCATCTGATCCTAGTGGCTCAGGCCCTATGAGAAGATGCCAAACCCCAGGGAAAGAACACCAGGCAATGCCCCTGATTACCCGGGTTCTGTGACCCCTTTGTTTGCCAAAAGTCAGGGTATGATTTATGAGGAAATAAGAGTTTGACTGAGACTCTGGGTGGAGGCTTGAGCTGGACTCCTTGGGGTTCAGGAGATGAAGAGTTGGATGAAGGGCTTGGGGAGAATAATGGGAGAAAAGAATGTTAAGGTTCAAATGAGGATAGGGGGTGGGACACAGTATGTTAGGTTCCAAACATCTTGAAAAGGACTTTAAAAGTGGGACTGCTGAGTACCATCTCCACAGACAGCAGCATTGGAGGGCACTGACGTTGCCACAAGAGGAGTGGAAGGTATATATCAAGAAGGACTTCCTGGTGTTGGAAGGTTACAGGAGACATTGGAATACAGAAAGAATCTCTCTCCTAGGAGACCCATCTGTGTGAGATCAAAGTGGAGGAGGCAGGAGGATGGATAATCTCAGGTGCTCCTGGGAATCCTGCTCGTTACTACACTGGGACCTACGCACTCACAGAATTCCAGAGCTGGAAGAGATCACCAATGTCCAAACAAGAATCAATCCTCTCTGGGACACACCTGACAAGTGGTCTTCCAGTCTTCACTCAAAGCCCTCTGGTGAGGGCGAAACCACTACTTCCTGAAGCAGTCCAAGCCATTTTAAGATAGCTTTAATGCTTAGGAAGTTTTTCTTTACATTTAACCTAATTCTGCCTCTCTAAAACTTCTACCCATTACTCCTGGTTCTGGTTTCTGACTTCTGGAGTCAAATGAAACAAATCTAATCCTTCTATGTGAGTTTTCTCAAGGTGAGACACCCCCAGTTCCTTCAACAACTTCTCCTACGGCATGATCTCAACTTTATTAACATTCTTCCTGAAATGTGGTACCTAGAACTATACCGGATATACAAAATGTCTTCCCCTTAAGTTTCATGGAGATGGATCCTCAAAGGGAAAAGGGAAAGGAAAAGTCTCAAAAACATTCTGTACCAAAATGCCTTCTTTCCCCTCCTGATATAGGCCTGGTCTGAATGGCAGAGAGAGGCCACATGGGTCCCCTCTGTCTGGACTGTGACCTAATCAACCCTAGAGAGAGGTGGGGTAGACAGTCTGGCTGACTTACCAAGTAAACAAACACACTTTCTCCTTGGGCTGCTGGGCTGTAGGGGACTAGGATCAAAGGAGTAGGTAAGAAACTGGCCGTTGATGGAGCTTAACTCCAGTCTAATCCTAATTTTCCCAGTAACTATGAGAAATGCAATCATCATTTAATCATCATTAATTATCATTTATCTCTGTGAAGTCCTTCCTGCTATCTGAGCTTTCTTTCTAACTTAGCATTCTTTCTATACCTGTCTCATTCCCTACTAAACTGTAAACTACTCAGAGGGACTGTCTTGTTTTTTGTGTGTAGGGTATATTTAATAAACATCTAAATTAATCTATTCTCCTGCCACCTTGGTATCCTATTGATTCTTACTTTGGGGAGTGACAGTGAGTAGGAATTAAAATAAGGGAGAAAGATGCCTTTTAGAGAGTATCAACTTATTTTTATCCACATGAATAAAGAAGACTACAACAAGATATGTAAGTTATATAGATTTATTCTCAACAAGCCCAGACATAAAACAAGAAAGGTGGTGTGAGGGTCAAGGTTAGACAAAATGACAAAATTATTTGCCTAAAATCACTGAGATAGAGCTGGGGATTGAGGAAATCCCAGATGTTCTCCTATCAGGGCTAAAGTTAAGCTCCATCTTATCTCCCAGACCTAGAGGCTCTAGATTGTATAAACTGGGAAAACTGTCCTAATTGCAAAAGGAACTCAAGGTCCTGGATCCAAATGCTCCACGTTAGCCTGGGGACCAGCATAAGGACAGCAAATCAGGGACAGCTGAGGCCAACAGGGGCAAACATCTTGGGAGCAGAGAGATGACAGTGTAATGTAGGAAGTTTATTTACAGATGTGGGGAGAACATGACAGGGCATCAGCTTGGCCAGCAAGGCAGCAATCAGTGGAGATTGGAAACAGATTCCATGATTAGAGGATTCAAGAACTCTGTGGCTGGGGCAGTCCGGACTGAGAGGGACGTGAGGAGGGGGAGGAACTGTGCTGGGCTCAGTGAAGAAAGAGATATTAAAATCCGGCCCAAGATGAGTGAAAACCTGTGGCCCATCTGACTCCAAAGCAGTGGGAAATAGAAGGAAATCACAAGTGGAGTTGGGGAGCAGGATGAACGGCACCAGAGAAGCCCAAAACACATGAAGAAGAGGCCTTAACCTGCATCCTTGGCTTCTGGTGGATCCCTTTACAGCTCTTGGATCAGTGGGCATTTTATAGCCCTCTTCTTAGCTGGCTTCCCCTCTCAAGGTAGCTCAGAGTTTCAGCCCCTGTAGATTCTACCTCCACGGGTCCTCACGAAATTTAATTTGTTCAGATGATGTGGGTCCCTCCAAAGCCAGAGACAAGGAGTCTTGAGAGTATTGGAAGGGTGGGGTCCAGCTGACTGGCCTCCTCACTCTGGGTCTTCCAACACTGTTGCTAGCTCTCTCTGTTTTTTGCTAAGAGCCTGGATATGGAGAAAGAGAAAAACAATACAAGAGTGATGGAAAAAATAAAATCTTTTCCCTCTATGGGCCTCTACTCTGGACTTGGATTTATACTAGACAGCAAAGGCAGGATCTTCTGCTTCATCTTCACTGAAGGCCCAATAGGAAAAAAAAAAATCATGGTAGATGTGTATGACCATTTATTGTGAACCACACTTAAATCACAAATCCCTTCTACAACATTTCTGAGGCAGCCTATTCCCCTTTTGGACAGTGTTAGTACTTAGGAAGTTTTTCCTTATGTTAAGATGAGACATGTTTCCTTGTAACTATTCCACATTGGTTCTCTTTCTGCCCTAGCAAGAACAAGCCTCTTCCACAGAACAGCCCTTTAAATATTTCAAAACAAAGATCATGTCCCCATTAAGTCTTCTCTTCTCTAAGATAAGCATTCTTTATGCAACCAAAGAATCCCCGATTCCTTTCAGTGACATTCTGGAGACCCGGTGTGATCACCGTATCTTGGACCCCTTTCTCAAGACACACAGCTTTGTTGTTGTTCAGTCATGTCTGACTCTTTGTGACCCCATGGACCACAGTACACGAGGCCCTTCTATCCTCCACTATCACTCCAGGTCTGTCCAAGTTCATGTTCATTGTCTCTGATATTATCTAACCATCTCAACATCTGCTGGTCCCCTTTTTCTTTTGCCTTCAATCTTTGTTTGTTTGTTTGTTTGTTTGTTTTTTAGGCAACTGGGGTTAAGTGACTTGCCTAGGGTCACACAGCTAGTAATTCTGCCTTCAATCTTTCCCAACATCTGGATCTTTTCCAATCATTCCTGTCTTGTCATTACGTGGCCAGAGTATTTAAGCTTCAGCTTCAGTATTTGACCTTCCAGTGAATAGCCTGAATTAATTTCTTTAAGTATTGACTGATTTGACCTCCTTGCTGTCTCAAAAGCTGACTCTCAAAAGTCTTCTCCAGCACCACAATTCAAAAGCATTGATTCTGCAGCACTCAGCTTTCCTTATAGCCCAACTCTCACAATCTTTCTAGTCTAAGACACTATTCTCTACTGGAAAAACCACAACTTTGACTATATGGACCTTTGCTGGCAAGGTGATGGCTCTGATTTTTAGTATACTGCCCAGATCTGCCAGTTTTCCTTCTCAGGAGCAAGCATCTTTTAATTTCATGACTACAGTCTCAATCTGCAGTGATCTTGAGCCCAAAAATATAAAATCTGACACTGCTTCCATTTCCTCTTTCTCTATTTGCCAGGAAGTGATGGCACCAGTTGCCAAGATCCTAGTTTTTTTGATGTTAAGCTTCAGGCCAGCTTTTACACTCTTCTCTTTCAAGAGGCTAATTCTTCTTCACTTTGTGCTATCAGAGTGGTATCATCTGCATATCTGAGATTGTTGATATTTCTCCCAACAACCTGAATTCCAGCTTTTGATTCATCTAGCCTGGCATTTTGCATGATGTACTCTGCATATAAGGTAAATAAATAAGGTGACAATATACAGCCTTGTTATACTCCTTTTCCAATCTTAAACCAATCAATTGTTACATGTCCGGGTTCTAACTATTTCTTTTTGACCCGCATACAGGTTCCTCAGGAGGCAAGTAAGATGATCTGGTACTCCCATCTCTTTGAGGACTTGCCACATTTTGTTGTGATCCACACTTTAGTGTAATCAATGAAGTAGAAGTACATGTTTTTCTGGTGCTCCCTTGCTCTCTTCATAATCCAGAGAATGTTGGTGATTTAGCCTCGAGTTGCTCTGCTCTTCCCCAGTAGTGGACTGGACACCTTCCAACCTGAGGGGCTCATTTTCTGATGTCATCTCTTTCATCATTTTCATACTGTTTGTGTACCTTTGTAACCTTGCATGGCATAGCTCATAGTTTCACTGAGCTGTGCAAGCCCCTCCACCAGGACAAAGCAATAATGGGGGAGGGGGAGGGGCCCAGAACAGGAAACAACAGAGGAAGAAGACAAAGTGATGTTTGAGCAGGGTGGTGTTTAGAAGGACTCTCACCCTCCCACCCCCATCTTGGACTTTGATGACCATTTTGGCTGCCATAACACTAACTCGTTCCTGAACTCACAGTGCACAAAATTCCCATGTCTTCTCATATGATCTTTTTCCTAGTCACCTCATCCTCAACTTGGGCAGCTGTTTGTTTGTTTTTTTAAATCCAACTGTAGGATATTAATCTACAATATATAGAATCACGTGAATGTAATGGAATTTTTCTGAGCTGTAAGAAATTATGAATCTAAAAAATTTAGAAAAAAGAATGGGAAGGCCTATATGAACATATGCAAAATGAAGAAAGGAAAACCAGGAAAACAAGATACACCATGACTAAAACCATTTAGACGAACAAGATGTAACTGAACTCTGTAATTATAATGACAGAGCTTGGCCCCAGAGAAGAGTTTTAAAAAATGTAATGCTGCATATAAAAAAAAAGAACTGTTCTCTTTTTCTTTTTTTACTTTATGACTCAAGGTGGGAGATGGGAGCCATATATTTGGAAATTAATGTGATGCAAAAACAAAAATAAAAAAAGGTTTCATAGAGTCACAGAACTGTTCAGAGTCAGAAGGGCCCTCAGAGGCTATTTAGTCCAAACGAGATCTGAGAAAGAATCCCTTCTATCATCTACGGGAACCCGTCACCTCCAGAGGCAGCTCATTCCACTTTTGGACAGCTCCATCTGTTAGGAAGTATTTTATTACATTGAGCCTGGATCTGCCTCTCTGCAGCTTCCACCCATCGCTCCCTGTTCTGTCCTCTTGGATCAAGCAGAATAAATTCACGTAATCCCTCTAGCAGACTGACGGCACTTCCAATACTTGAAGACAACTATTAGGTTCCTCATAAGTGAATTCTTCTCTAGGCTAAACATCCCTACTTTCTTCAGCTAATCTTCATATGATGTAAGTCTGGCTGCCTTCCCCTGGACACGGCATTTTACCAATGCTTCCCAGAATGTGATGTCCATGAACACAATACAATGTTAGATTACAGAGGGACTCTCACCTGTCTAGTCTAAGACAATATGATTCTTTTTTTTTTTTGGTGAGGCAATTGGGGGTGAAGTGACTTGCCCAGGGTCACACAGTAAGTGTCAAGTGTTTGAGGCTGGATTTCTTGAACTCAGGTCCTCCTGACTCCAAGGCCACAGCTCTATCCACTGCCCTGCCAAACATTATGATTCTTAATAATTGCATTAGTACTGCTGTTTTTTTTTAATGGGCAATAGAGACTCTATTCTTGGGTTCAGTGTGCCCCCAACCAGAACAGATTCTACCCACAGTCTAAGCAAATCACCAAAATTTTTAAAAACCATTTAATTTTGCCACACTAAGAAAATAGGAAAACATACATTAAAATCATACTCTTTTTGGGGGTCAATTCTAAATTAATTTTTTCAATTGGCAAAAACCTGCCTTCTTTCCCTCTCAAAACCCCTCCCCACTGAAACAGCAAGAAAAACAAAACAACTCCCACTCTGTAGCATTATACTTAGTTTTGCTGGGTATGTTATTCTTGGTTGTAAACTTAAATCCTTTCCCTTCTGGAATATCATATTCTGAGTTCTTTGCTTCTTTATGGTTGTGACTTCTTAATCTTGTGTGACCCTGACTGTGGCTTCCTGGTATCTGAATTCTTTCTTTTTGGCTGCTAGCAGTATTTTTCCTTTGATCCGGGTTTCTTTCAGGAGGTGACCAGTGGATTCTTTAATTTCCATTTCGTCCTTTGTTCTAAGATATCTGGGCAGTTTTCTTTTCATATATCTTGAAATATGATGTCTAAGACATAAGAACTCTGATCAATGCAATAACCAACCAGAAGACAACCATGACTCCAGAGGACTGATGAAGCATGCTAACCACCCTGACAGAGAGGTGATACAACATAAATTTTTAGATGTGGCCAATGAGGGAATCTGTTTTGCTTGAAAATGCATATGTTACAAGGAATTTTTATTTTATTTTTCCTCTTTTCAATGGGAGGGAAAAAAGTTTGTTAATTGAAAAAATTAAAGAAAAAGATTTTCCTTATACAACGTATAAGCAAAATGTGAGGAAATGTGACCCAAATTGCCCCCCCCCCAAAAAAAGGAAATGATGAGCAGTCGGACTTCAAAAAAACCTGGAAAGACTTACACAAACTGATACTGAGTAAAGTGAGCAGAACCAAGAGAACATTATGCACAGTAACAGCCACATTGTGCGATGACTAACTTTGACAGACTTATTTCGTTAGCAACACAAGGATCTAAGACATCTCCAAAAGACTTACGATGGAAAATACTGTCCACATCCAGAGAAAGAACTATGGAGTCTGAATGCAGATGGAAGCATACTATTTGCTCTCTTTTTTCTTTGTTGTTTTGTTTCTTCTTTCTCATGGTTCCTCCCATTGGTTCTAATTCTTCTTTACAAAATGACTAATGTAAAAATATGTTTGACATGAATATATATGTAGAGCCTATATCAGATTGCATGCCATCTTGGGGAGGGGGACAAAATTTAAAACTTAAAAGCTTATGGAGGGGCAGCTAGGTGGCGCAGTGAATAGAGCTGTGGCCTTCGAGTCAGGAGGACCTGAGTTCAAATCCAGCCTCAGACACTTAACACTTACTAGCTGTGTGACCCTGGGCAAGTCACTTAACCCCGATCCCCTCATAATAGAGCAAAAAAAAAAAAAAAAAAGCTAATGGAAGTAAATGTTAAAAAAGAAAAATATTTTCACTCTTAAAAAATAAACACCAAAAAACTTTTTCATTTTTTCCAAGATTTCTAGCTGCATTTATGCCCAAGGTTTGTTTTTCTTTGAGGCTTTGACCATAGATGTTTTAGAGGTATTCTTTAATTCTGGGTTTGTGTCTTATGTATGCCATCACCATAATAGCTTTTCATGATGGGATTTGTTTTTGTTTGCTCATTTTTCCTGCTACTTCCTTACTTAAGACTTTATATTAGGTCCAGGTTCT